CAGCCCCCTAAAGCATCCCTCATAATAAGGCTTGGTTTCCAGACCCTTGATCATCTTGGTTGCCCTCCTCTGCACACATTCCAGCTTGTCAATATCCTTCTTATTTTTATTTTTTTGTACATAATTTTTTTTATTAATTTAAATCCATACACAATCTTAGGTACATGTACAGCCTTAAATAATTATACCATTAAATATTGATTTAAACTTGTATTTGTACATGCTCTTTTCTTATAATTTCTAACTAAACAAAAATAAACCAAAGTAAAAAATCCAATAAACTAAATTCAATATCCTTCTTAAATTGTGGCGCACAGAATTGGACACAGTGTTCCAGGTGTGGCCTGACCAAGGCAAAATAGAGTGGTACCATTACATCCCTTGATCTGGACACTAGACTTCTGTTGATGCACCCTAGAATAGCATTAGCCTTTTTTGCTGCTGCATCACACTGTTGATTCATGTTAAGCTTGTAGTCTACTAAGTCCCCCAGATCCTTTCCACATGTCCTACTAGCAAGCCAGGAATCCCCCATCTTATATTAGTGCAGCTGGTTCTTCCTGCCTAAGTGCAGAACCTTACATTTGGCCTTATTGAAATTCATTTTGTTAGTTTGGGCTCAGTTCTCCAGTCTGTTAAGGTCATATTGAATCTTGAGTACCGGTATGTCTGCTGTGCCCTTAACTACTCCTCCCAGTTTGGAGTCATCTGTAAATATAATGAGAGTGCCCCCTCAATCAATTCAACTTCTAAGTTCTCCTGAAGTCTTCCTCAAATTTGATCATACAAATAGAGGTAGAAGTAGGGAGGGAGAGAGGAGGAGGAGGAGGAGGAGGAGGAGAGGAGAGGAGAGAGAGAGAGAGAGAGAGAGAGAGAGAGAGAGAGAGTTGGAAAAGAGAAAAGAGGTGACCCTATAAACTCAGAAAATCCACTGTTTAGTCTTTGGCACATGCCTGAAATCTCTAGAGCCAGCTTCCAGTCTGCACAGATATTGCTGATCTCGCTGGGTGAAGACACCTGTGTTGTATTGTTTAGGCTGTGACAAATATTGATGCATGCCTCCTGCAAACAAAAAAATAGAAAAACTCCCACCTTCAGTGGGAACCCATGACTGTATGTAATTTATCTTGAAAGTGATGCTGTTGTCATCACTTTGATGTGTAGTTAAGACTGATGGCATAAACCTGATCTTAGTTTACACTTCCTGTGTTACTAGAGATCAAAGGCTGGAGAGATCCATGTGGTAGCTCTTCAATTTTGCATGTGTAATGCAATTCCTAGTCACAGCTTGATATAACAACGTGGTGCTCCCGCCCCTGCACCTCCCCACAAAGTCTTTTCCTTTAGGCAATGCACATTCGGAGCAGTCGGCTACCATTCGGGCCTGCATTGTAACCGATCAGTTCTACTATTCCAGTAGTGACTTTGGAAATAAAATCATCTATTCATGGTCCACATCTGCTTATAACGTGATCAGGTTATGCATTACTAATCCTCTAGGAACAGGCAGAGTGAGGGGTAGTGAATCTTTTCCAGTGCAATGATACAGGAAGCTATCATCAGTGAATTTCTATTTTATTTTATGCTTATTGCATTTATAGTCTACATTACCTCCAAGCTTGAAGGCATCACAAGTGCTTCCTCTGCACCCCATTTTAAGGACATAAGAAGAGCCTGCTGGGTCAGGCCAATGGGCCATCTTAATCTAGCATCCTGTTCTCACAGTGGCCAACCAGACGCCTGGGGGGAACCAACATGCAGGAACTGAGCCCTCTCCCTGCCTGTGGTTTCCAGAAACTGGTATTCAAAAGCATTGCTGCCTTCAGGGCATAGCAAATATGGCTAGAAGCCATTGCTAGCCATATCCTCCATAAATGTATCTAACCCTCTTTTAAAACTATTTAACTTAATGGCCTTCACTTCATGGCCATAGCTTAACTATGCACCGTGTAAAAAAGTACTGTATTTTTCGCTCTATAAGACGACCAGACCATAAAATGCACCTAGTTTTTGGAGGAGGAAAACAAGAAAAAAAATATTCTGAATCTCAGAAGCCAGAACAGCAAGAGGGATTGCTGCACAGCGATCCCTTTTGCTGTTCTGGCTTCTGGGATAGCTGTTCAGCCTGCATTCGTTCCATAAGACGCACACACATTTCCCCTTACTTTTCAGGAGGGAAAAAGTGAGTCTTATAGAGCAAAAAATGCGGTACTTAATTCTACCTGTCCTGAATTTTCCAACATTCAGCTTTATTCAGTGTCTACAAGCTCCAGTGTTTGGAGAGTGTTCTTTTCCCTATCCATTTCCCCCATGCATAATTTTTGTAAAGGTCTATCGTGTCACCTCTTAACTTGTCTTTTCTCTAAACTAAAAAGTCCCAAACAATGCAACCTGTCTTCATAGAGGAGTTGGTCTGTTCCCTTGATCACTCTGGCAGCCCTTTTCTGAAGTTTTTCCAACCCTACAATATCCTTTCCGAGGAGAGGTGGCCAGAACTGTACATCGCTCCAAACGTTGGGGCACAAAAACATCTGTATAATACTTGCAAATTTATTTTCAATTCGTTCCCTAATGAACCCTGGTATGGAATTTGCTGTTTCCATGGCTGCTGCGCACTGAGTTGACATCTTCATCGGACTGTATTCTATAACCCCAAGGTCTTGTTCTTGGTCCTTTCACCTGATGATATGTGAATGATATTTTTGCCCTAACATGCATCACTTTACACTTGTTTACACTGAATTGTATTTGCCATTTTGCCAGCCATTCACTCAGTTTGGAGAGGTCCTTTTGGAGCTCTTCACAATCTCTTTTTGTTTTAATGACCCCAAACAATTTAGTATCATCAGCAAACCAGCCACCTCACTGCTCACTCTATCTTTAGATTGTTTATGAACAAGTTAAAAAGCCCCAAGACTGATCCTTGGGGAACTCCACTTTCTACTACTCTCCGTTCAAAGAGCTGTCTGTTTAATCCTACTCTTTGCTTCTTGCTACTTAACCAATTACTGATCCACCAGAGGACCTCTCTTCTTATCTCTTGACCAGTAAGCTTACTCAGGAGTCTTTGGTGAGGTACTTTGTCAAAAGCTTTGTGAAAGTACAGTCATACCCATAGCTGTCAACGTTTCCCTTTTTTTATTCCGAATAGGATTCCTCGCAAGAAAAGGGAAAAGTTGACAGCTATGGTCATACCTCAGGTTACAGACACTTCAGGTTGCATGTTTTTGGGTTACGGACGCACCAAACTCGGAAGTACTGGAACGTGTTACTTCTGGGTTTTGGTGCTCGCACATGTGCAGGAATGCCGAATCGCCACCCGCACGTGTGCAGGCACGGCGCTGCGGGTTGCGGACTCTGCGGGTTGCGAATGTGCCTCCCACACGGATCACGTTCTCAACCCGAGTGTCCACTGTACCCTGTGTCAACCACATCACCTCAATATGCTTGTGGCACTCTCAAAGAATACTAATCGGTTTGTGAAACAGGTATTTTCCTTGTGGAAGCCATGCTGACTTTGATGCAGTACTGCTTGCTCATTTAGATGCTTGGTTATTTTATCTTTAACATTACTTTCCACCATTTCATTTCATTTTCATTTATTATAATTATCCAGCTTCCCAAAAATTTAACACTTCTCGATATGGTTTAACCCCTTTCTGTTTTCACAATACAAATTCCACAAATATCTCCCATAATTCCTCAAAGTCATTCCCCCCTTCTTACTCTGATAGCACGCATTAATTTATCATATATATCCCACACTTCTTTATGCCATTCTTCTATTTGATACCCACCTTGCCTTTTCCATTTCCTAGCTATGATAACTCAAGTTTGTGAGTAAGTCCTTTATAAAGGTAAAGGTAAAGGGACCCCTGACCATTAGGTCCAGTCGTGGCTGACTCTGGGGTTGCGGCACTCATTTTGCTTTATTGGCCGAGGGAGCCGGCGTACAGCTTCCGGGTCATGTGGCCAGCATGACTAAGCCGCTTCTGGTGAACCAGAGCAGTGCACAGAAATGCCGTTTGCCTTCCTTCTGGAATGGTACCTATTTATCTACTTGCACTTTGACGTGCTTTCGAACTGCTAGGTTGGCAGGAGCAGGGGCCAAGCAATGGGAGCTCACCCCGTCACTGGGATTCGAACCGCCAACCTTCTGATCAGCAAGTCCTAGGCTCTGTGGTTTAACCCACAGCGCCACCAGCGTCCCTAAGTCCTTCATAGCCTCCACCAATTTTCCAGGGACATATGTTAAACTAACCAGCCTGTAATTTCCAGTATCCCCCTGGATCCCTTTTCCAAATTTGGTGTTACATTGGCTACTATCCAGTCCTAGGGTATAAGAGGTTGACCCAAGGGGCAAGTTACATATTTTTATTAGAAGATTAGCATATTCCCATTTGAGTTTTTTGAGACTCTCAGGAGGATGCCAACTGGAACCAGAGTTTTGGGAGTTTTAATTTTGTCTGTTGGGCCTAGAACTTCATATCTCGTCTCCATTATCCATCTTAAGTCCTCAGACTCATCTCCTGCAAATGTACTGGGTTCTGCCCTATATCTCCATTGTGAAGACAGATGCAAACAAATCATTCCACTTCTCTGCAATCTCTTTGTCCTCCTTTATAACTCCTTTGTCTCCCTTGTTGTCCAATGGTCTTCCTAGATCGTTTCCTGCTACTAATATATTTGAAGAACTTCTCCTTGCTGGTCTTTATTTTTACAGTAACGTGTTCCTCAAAGTCTTTTCTTTTTTTTTTGAAGCATCCCTTACTGTCTGTTTGCACTTTTTGGGCCACAGTTTGTGTTCCTTTTCATTCTCTCATGAGAGCCAGTGTGGTGTAGTGGTTAAGAGCGGTAGTCTCGTAATCTGGGGAACCGGGTTTGCGTCTCCGCTCCTCCACATGCAGCTGCTGGGTGACCTTGGGCCAGTCACACTTCTTTGAAGTCCCTCAGCCCCACTCACCTCACAGAGTGTTTGTTGTGGGGGAGGAAGGGAAAGGAGAATGTTAGCCGCTTTGAGACTCCTTAAAAGGGAGTGAAAGGCGGGATATCAAATCCAAACTCTTCTTCTCTTCCTCTCCTTCTTCTCTTCATCTGGACAAGACTTCAGTTATTTGAAGGAAACCTTCTTGCCTCTAATAGCTTCTCTCACTCTACTTGTTAATCATGCCAGTGTCCTCTTGTCTCTTATGGTACTTTTCATGAATCTGTGGTATATACTCCAGCTGAGTATCTAATAGCGTTTTGGAGCTAAAAGCATTTTGGAGTGATTTGACCCTTTTGACTTTCCGTTTCAACATTTCTTTCTTTCTTTCTTTTTTTAAAAACAGTCTCCTCATTTGTTGGGATACTTCAGTCAGTAGAGCATGAGACTCTTAAATCTCTGATTTTCCTCTCTCAAAATCAGATGTGGCCGTGTTGGATTTTCTAGGCAATTGGCTATTTACATGTTTATTTAATATAACCAGGACTATGGTGTCCACTCCCAGTTGGCTCAACAATGCTCCATCTCACACCAGGCCCTGGGTGCCACTCCAAGATGGCTTTCTCTGAAATGCTACCAGTTCCACGTGCAGGGCCAGACAGACAGGCTCAGCTTTGTGGTCTCAATATCAAAATGAGACGATGGTGTCAGGAGGAAGGGTTTGGATTCATAGGCACTGGGGAACATTATGGGGCAAGCTAGGCCTGTAGTTGAATGTTCATGAAGTAAGTTATTTATTAATTTATTAAACTGATATGGAAATGTGGAAAATTGAACCAAAGATTGGAAAAATGAGGGGGGCGGGGGACCTGAAATTGAACGATTCACACCAGGTGCAAATTTGCGATGGGTGGAGTAGCCAGTCCATAGGTTGAATGATTGGTTAATGGCACTCAGTTACTACAGAACGGAAATAGGCCCAAAAGCTTATTATGTCTGCCAGCAGTTGATTTAATTAAAACAGCATCTTTCTCCACAGAGATTCTTACACCCACAAGCACTTGCCACTCTTTCTCGCAATAGATAAATAATTAGTTCGCTGTACCGAAAACCTCACAACTTAGACATTGCCAACTCAGTGGTTACATCAGTTAATTAATGTCTATTGATAGACATTACATCATGGTAAGGAACACATGATGTCCTCTGCTGCTGAATAAGTCATAGCTTTACCTTTCAAGAAAAGAATAGACTAAACGTAACCACACAGGCGTTGTTGTTGTTGTAGGCATTTGTCTGTCTCAAGAGACAATGGAATGCACCCCCAGGGGTGTAGTCAAACCGCAGGAGGATAACTGTGCCTGAGACTAGCTACAGAGACTAATAATTCAGCTTGTTATTTGACTCCCACAAAGAGCTGATTCACACCCCTAGCAGATAGTACTGTGATGATGGACCAGTGGTCTGACTTGGTTCAAGGCAACTTCCTACATTCCTGAAAAAAGTGTGTTCTGCCTGTAAAAATGGTCGATTCCCACTCCTCCAGACAAGCTTGGCGCTCATTCCACTTCACAAAGAAGTCTCTTTTGTCAGCTCTGAAGTGGCCGCTTGCTTCTGCTCATCAATCTAAACCTGAAGGAAGCCTTGGCTGGTCTTGCAGTTGGCACAGATTCTTCTAGGTGATTCATGAGGACCCAAGTGCCTCGGCACACAAGCCACAAATTGAATTTCGCCAGCTCTTCCCCCGCTGTCAGTTAAGAGACAAAACAAATAGTTGCTATTTCCACCCCTGTTCTCCTCATGATCCCTTTGTTCTATTTGAAAGCTCAAGACCATGCTCTGATGGTGCAGATGTGTGCTGGAAATGTTTACTGCTGCTCTTCAAGCAACTTGGAGAAAGACCCCCCGCTTAAACACTGGTGTTGGATAATTTCCAGGTATTTGTGAAACCACGTGGAGCTGGACTCGGGAAGAGCGCCCTGCTGTCCACATTCCCACCAAGATGGCGCAAGAGAGAAGTGTGTCCTGGGGAAAAAGGAGAAGAAATCACTAAGGCACTTGTGGTCTGTAGAGTAAGGACTCCTCACCTTCTGGAGAAGCAGGTGCCACTCTGTCAGGGAGCTAACAAGGAGAACAGGTCATTCGCAGATCAGAGAAAGGCAGTGAAACACTGGCTAACTTACAGTTAGGTAAAGGTAAAGGGACCCCTGACCATTAGGTCCAGTCGTGACTGACTCTGGGGTTGCGGCGCTCATCTCACTTTATTGGCCGAGGGAGCCGGCGTACAGCTTCCGGGTCATGTGGCCAGCAGGACTAAGCCACTTCTGGCGAACCAGAGCAGTGCATGGAAATGCCATTTACCTTCCTGCCAGAGTGGTACCTATTTATCTACTTGCACTTTGACGTGCTTTCAAACTGCTAGGTTGGCAGGAGCAGGGACCGAGCAACGGGAGCTCACCCCGTCGCGGGGATTTGAATCGCCAACCTTCTGATCGGCAAGTCCTAGGCTCTGTGGTTTAACCCACAGCACCACTTGCGTCCCTTAACTTACAGTTATTTTCTTTATTAAGGAAGCAGAACAGAGAACACACAGAAACTTCTAAGGGTTGCTCCTGTCTAGATGAAGCATTTGCCTGAAGTGGCTTGTAACTCCCTATCCCTCTGTGTCAGGCCACTTCCTCTGGCTACAGAAGGGTCCCCAAACTAAGGCCCAAGGGCCCGATAAGGCCCGAGGGACTCATTTATCGAGCCCGTGGCGACCCCCGCCACCTGCTGCCACCACCCGCTCTTACCAGCGCTGTGCTGCGCAGCTGCCAGTTCCGTGTCGGAGGAGCACTGGAAATAGCTTGTGCGCATGCGCAAGCATTATTTGCGCATGCACAAGCGTTATTTCCAGTGCACATCCGGGTTGGAGGAGGCCCATGGACATGCGCACAAGCTATTTCTGGTACTCCTCCAACCTGGAAGTGCGCTGGGATTAGCTTGTGCGCACGCATAGGGGCACACGCTCCTCCGCCCTCCAGCCCGCTTCACGATCAGCGCTGGAGACACCGGCCTGAGGCATGGTCAGTTCGCTGACCCCTGGTCTACAGCAAGCCCCAAGGGACCCTTTTTGTTTCTAAAGGTAAAGGGACCCCTGACCATTAGGTCCAGTCATGACCGACTCTGCACCCATGGTCTGCACCCATTCTGGGTCATGTGGCCATCACGACTAAGCTGCTTTAGGTGAACCAGAGCAGTGCATGGAAACGCCGTTTACCTTCCCGCCAGAGTGGTACCTATTTATCTACTTGCACTTTGATGTGCTTTCGAACTGCTAGGTTGGCAGGAGCAGGGACCGAGCAATGGGAACTCACCCCGTCGCGGGGATTCAAACTGCCGACCTTCTGATCAGCAAGTCCTAGGCTCTGTGGTTTAACCCACAGCACCACCCGCGTCCCTCACTTCTGTTTCTACCTGGCCCTTTATTCGGTAACATGCCATAGATGGCTTGTTCTGGGAGTGGGGAGGGGGCTTGCAGGCTGTCAGCAGAGAAGCTGTCAGAGTGGCTCTGTGGTAGGACTGCCAAATCTGATCCCTGTCTCTGCCCTGTGCTGTGGCACCTGCCTGTTCCCTCCTCTTCGTCTTCTTTCAAGCTCCCAGTCTCCAGTGCTTCGCAGCTCTTCCCTTCTTCTGGGGTGTATCTGGTTTCTCACCTCCAGGATCCAGGATTCAAATCCTCTCCGTCTGTACTTTCCCTGGGGGGCTCTTGGTCAGACAGTTGCCATCATTCTCCCTCATCCATCCAGTCCCAGACACACCCAATGGTAGTCACATCTGCATTATGTAAGAGCTGTCCTATACTGTGGCAGATAAATTGGTCCACTTACCTTGGTTTCGTCTTCCCTGACTGGCAGCAGTTCTGCAGGACTTCAGACAGGTGTGTCTCCGAGCCTTACCTAGCAATGCTGGGGATTATACCTGGGAGCTTTTTCATGCAAAAGAGATGCTCTACCACAACTGAATCTTCTTGCTCAGTTCCAATAGCATGAGCTCAGCATCTCCCACACTGGACGTTCTCCTGTAAACATAACCACAATTTATTGGTTGCCAAGAGTGGACACTCACCCTCGTATCAGTTCTGAGTGGATGAGAGGTACACAGAGGTGCTAAGATAGGGTTGCCATATTTCAAAAAGTGAAAATCCGGACACACACACACACACACACACACACACACACATGGTTTGTGAGCTCTTTGTAATGAAATTCACCAAAATCTACATTTCCGCCATACACCTGGACATTTCTGCGATTTCTGCCTGGACGTTCTTTACAAGGGCCGAATACTGGCTATGTCTGAGAAATTCCGGACATTTGGCAACTCTAGCTAAGACCTTCTCTCTATGAGAGAACATGGAGGTGGCTGATGAAGGTGCCTTTTTCCATTTTGAGGGGGCAGCTGAATGGGGTGGGGGCACACCCATGCCCTTTTGTGGTCCAGTCACCTTTTCTGCTCTTTTAGATGTGGCAGCCATTTTGTGTTACGCCATGTCCCCACAGCAGCCATTTTTTGACTGGCATCTGCAGCACTTCAGCAAAACTTTGAATGTGGCCACATGCCCAAAAAAGTTGGCAGCCCCTCTCCTTGAGGGCCACAGGTTCCCCATCTCTGGTGATAAGATGAATGATAAAAATATATATAAGGAAACAAATACAATCACCCACATACACACGCACACCCCTTTACAATGGTACCTCGGGTTAAGTACTTAATTCTTTCCGGAGGTCCGTTCTTAACCTGAAACTATTCTTAACCTGAAGCACCACTTTAGCTAATGGGGCCTCCTGCTGCTGCTGTGCCGCCGGAGCACAATTTCTGTTCTCACCCTGAAGCAAAGTTCTTAACCCGAGGTACTATTTCTGGGAGTATGTAACCTGAAGCGTATGTAACCCGAGGTACCACTGTACTTGTAAATAGTTGTTTGCTTTTGCAGGAATCTAGAGGAGGCTCACACATAAAACCAGTTACTTCTTTTATTGTCTTCTTTTGGATGTAGAACCCCTCCTCAATGTGTTGGGCGAGATACACATCAGGGTGTATTGACGCTGGAAAAAATATATCCCTCTAACTGTATTACTTTGGGCTTGAAATTGCATTGTGCAACATCATCATCAGCTGATATCCTCTACAAAGCTACATCCCTGAATGTGGATGCCGATTTGGATAGATGAACTACTTATCTTAATATACATGTTGCAATTAGGATGGATGGATAATTCTTATTGTTACAGTGAACTGACATTCCCCCCTTTCTATTATATTTGCAATAAAAACCTGTCTGTCTGTCTGTATAAATGTACTGACCTAGATCCCAGCTTCAATTTCTGCACCTTTAGCCTGAAGGGCACAGTTAGAGGAGATTAGGCATGTGTCAATATGGTGTCTGCAAATTGGCTCCCACAAGAACTGAGCTGCTCATTGTTCCCAGCTAACACTGTCTAATAATAATCCATTTTCTCCCCATTTCGGAATAGCGAGCGGCATTTGCATTCAAAATGATTTTAACAAATACAGCACAAGGAGGCAGCGCCTGGTGCAAAATGAACTGGGAATCGTTTCACGCATTTGGGGTTGTTAACAAAGTGAGCCTGCCTGCCTATTGGATGCCATATGTCTGGTTATTGACAGCCCTGTCAAGGAAGGGGAGGGAGAAGATCTTGAGAGAGTTGGCAGCTGCCCAGCTTGCCTCCGTTCTGCTTTCTAGTGTTTCCATAACAGATGTTCTGCCACATGCCCGGGGTTGCTGCAGAAGAGTTGATGTGTGCACTCAAAAATAGGTGATTTTCTTTTAAGGCACAAGAGATGGTCTCTCACCTTCTGCAAGGCAGGTTTCGAAGATAGGAGTGTGTCTGTGGGAGAGAATCCTGCCTTCACTTTTATTTCCCTCAGAGATGGGGGGAGATTTGGAAGCGAGGCATGGTTGCCCACCTGGTTGAATTCTTGCACGCAAACAGCACTGTTTGTTGCAAGCAAAACCTTCTTGTTTGATTCTAGGGGAGGCTGGTCCAAGAAGGGCACTGCCCCGCCGACCTCACTCTGCCCCCAACTGCCTGCGTTCTTACCTGCAACCAGCCCAGAGGCTGGCACTGGTTGTCAGCGTCTTCCTCCTAAGTCTCAGTCTCGCCTCTGTATAACTCAGCAGTCCAAGAGGATGAGGGCAAAACTAGAATTAGCTGGGTCTCCCTGCCTTTCATCCTGCTCACCCTCAAAATTCCCTCTTGCCAATGACTGTTGGTTGATTGTAGAAGGAAGCTCCCTCCAGGGCCTGTTTGAGACATTTACTTCCTGAGGCAAATGATAAGAATGCACCTTTCTCTTTTAGAGGTGATATCTGGTGCCCTAGTGATGTATGGAAGTGAGAGCTGGACCATAAAGAAGGCTGATCACCAAAGAGTTGATGCTTTTGAATTCTGGTGCTGGAGGAGACTCTTGAGAGTCCCATGGACTGTAAGAAGATCAAACCTATCCATTCTGAAGGAAATCAGCCCTGAGTGCTCACTGGAAGGACAGATCCTGAAGCTGAGGCTCCAATACTTTGGCCACCTCATGAGAAGAGAAGACTCCCTGGAAAAGACCCTGATGTTGGGAAAGATGGAGGGCACAAGGAGAAGGGGGAGACAGAGGACGAGATGGCTGGACAGTGTTCTCGAAGTTACCAGCTTGAGTTTGACCAAACTGCGTGAGGCAGTAGAAGACAGGAGGGCCTGGCGTGCTCTGGTCCATGGGGTCACAAAGAGTTGGACATGACTAAACAACTAAACAACAACAACAACATCTGGTGCACAAGATTAGGGGGCCTGGCACATGTATGTGACATCATGCACATGACGCACGGTGCACACATGGTGTAGCATTGTCGGGGTGAGCCTGAGTGTGGAGCCCAGGGCGGCTTCCTCTCTCACTCTCAAGAGGAGCCAACCACTAACCCACTCCATGCTCAGCTTCCTTTGTCCCCACAACATTGACGGGGCCTGGCCCCTGCCAGCAGATTTTGAGGGGGCCCAACACACCTTTGCCCCTAAGAGTTAGTGCGTCTGCCGTCTTTCCACATACAGAAGTGAACTGGATGCTTAGTTGAATCTTACTGTAACATTGATGACAGGGCAACATCCTCAGGGCATCAGGTCAACTTATGGGTGGCAGACCAAGCTGCGTGACACCCAGAACAACTCGGTCCTCCTCTGACAGAGGTGAGGAGCAAGGGAGAAACTGCTGAGGGGGTTGGCACTGCTGCCCTCCACCTACAAAAAACCCCCACACCCACTCCAACATCTGTCATCTCAGGCAGTCACCTCACCCCGTCTAATGGTAGAGCTGGTCTTGGCTTCTTCACAGATGGAAGAGGCTTCTTGGACAGAAATAAGTTGAGCACTGCCTATTTTGCGACGTTGGGAGTGTCTTTTGCTGCCAGGAGATCTCTCACGATTCCCTGGAGGCAAAAGATGCTGCCAGGATCTCTATGCTGCCATCACTTTACTTCAGGGTTAGGGAACCTCAGGCCTTTGCGGAGGCCGAATGCAACCTTTCACCAGTCAGCCCCCTCTCCTCAGGCCACATCCCTCACCAGCCCTGATTTGTACCCTCCCTGAGTGTTTTTGCCTGGGTGGAATGTGTCCTTGAACTAATGATAATGTTTCTTGTTTCCCCGGCTGGAGGATAAAGAGGGGCGCATGAGTGCAGAAGCTAGCCCACTGTACAACAAAGTTACCATTTGCATCTCAGCAGGGAATGCTGCCCTTGAGCTGAAAAGGGTCCTCCACTCATTTGACTTAATTGTGTCCAGGAAGGAGGAGAAACCCAGCAGGCCTCACCTGTTTCAAGAGAGCCCTCCTCACCTGCCTGCTATATAGACTCCTTTGCACCAAGGTGAGGTTTTCGTTTAGGGGATGGGTTAATGGGCAGTATAGGTGAGTGGGCTCCTCCTACAAACAAGTAAATAAATAAATAAATAGATAGATATAGATAGATAGATAGATAGATAGATAGATAGATAGATAGATAGATGATGATAGATAGATAGATAGATGATAGATAGATAGATAGATAGATAGATAGATGATAGATAGATAGATGATAGATAGATAGATAGATAGATGATAGATAGATAGATAGATAGATGATAGATAGATAGATAGATAGATAGATAGATAGATGATAGATAGATAGATAGATAGATAGATAGATGATAGATAGATAGATAAGGGTGTGGAGAAGGCATCAGGGAGAGAGGAATGAAGAACCCCCTCATGTTCTGATTGCCTATGGAGCACCAGCAACTGAAAATGGGGAGAGGTGAATTAGGGAAGGTTTGATGAATCATGGAAGGATATTGGACCCTCATCCAGCCCTCTGGAACCAGTTCCCAACTAAAATTAGACAGTATCCCAGCATCATGATGCTTAGATGCCTACTGAATATGATGAAGAAGTTTCTCCCTGAGGTGCGACCCAATAATTTATGAAAGGTGAATTGTACATCTGTGGGAATGGCTTTATTTTACAATTTGTGTGAAATTTTAGCTAATTGTTATCCTGTTGTACACAGGCTATGAAATGGTTTATCAATTTGTAATAATAATAATAATAATAATAATAATAATAATAATAATAATAATGCCCTGAATTGGGAGTTGGATGGGGTCTGGTTCACTTCGGAATGCCTCCAAAGAATCCTTATTTATTAATTTCCCCTTTTTATTTTGGAGGAGGGAACAGCATGTCATCGTCTGAGGCAGTACAATGAGAGCTTGAGAAAGTTTGTCCACTGCTAATTCTGTATTCTGCACTTCCCCCTTCCCCAGCCTGACCTAAATCCTCATGCCTCTGCCCTCCAAATCTCCATACACATTCTACCTTAGGAGAGCCACGGATCCATTTTGACATCCCTTCTGCATCCACCACTCGCCCTGGTCTTTCCGAACCTGACGTTATCCACCCAGATGCTAACAACAACAGCAAGATACCACAAAGAACTCAAAAACTGTGTAGTGTGTGACTGTTTGTTGCATTTTGTATTATTACCTCCTGCTTCGCGTAATCCCAACAAGTGATGTCGTTCATTCTGCTTCTGTGTGATTCAAGCAAGGTGTGAAGACATTTCAGCAAGCGCAGACGGTGCTTTTTAGTTCCTTAAAAAGAAAAAAAGAAAAAAGCAATTGCTTCCCTTTGGTCCTTCTGTCTGTCAAGCTTCGTTGGCTGTCAATGAGGTGGTAGAACAGAGTTATCATCTGCCTGCAGCAAGACCTGTTACTGCTGATAGGCGAAGGGATTTCTTTCCTCCCTGTAGCAATAAAATGGAGACAGACAGAGAGGCAAATTCAAGCATGCAACATACAACAGCCTATATATCTTCTTAGCACAAGCAGTCTGTGTGCACTTTCTGTTTCAGGAACTTGGACGTTCAAAATGCTTAACAGGATTATCTTGTAGAGGCTGTGTGGGTGTGTGAACATAATGACAACGGGGCATCGTTTAGATAAATCCTCCACTTCCCAAGGATGATTTTGGTGAGGCAAATTCTGTGCTGTGGAAAGATGCTCTCCTCCTCCACAAAAAAATAACAAAAATGATGCTGTGGTGTAATTAGTTTGGGAAGAACCATAGCTCAGTGCTAGAGCAAGTATTTTGCATGTAGAAGATCCTGGATTTAATCTCCACCATCTTCAGATAGGACAGGGAAATCATCATCATCATCATCATCATCATCATCACAACCTTGATGGCAGAAAGTGAGGAGGAATTAAAGAACCTTTTAATGAGGGTGAAAGAGGAGAGTGTGAAATATGGTCTGAAGCTCAACATCAAAAGAACTAAGATCATGGCCACTGGTCCCATCACCTCCTGGCAAATAGAAGGGGAAGAAATGGAGGCAGTGAGAGATTTTACTTTTCTTGGGCTCCATGATCACTGCAGATGGTGACAGCAGTCACGAAATCAAAATACACCTGCTTCTTGGGAGAAAAGCGATGACAAACCTAGACAGCATCTTAAAAAGCAGAGACATCACTTTGCCAACAAAGATCCGTATAGTTAAAGCTATGGTTTTCCCCGTAGTGATGTATGGAAGTGAGAGCTGGACCATAAAGAAGGCTGATCGCCAAAGAATTGATGATTTTGAATTATGATGCTGGAGGAGACTCTTGAGAGTCCCATGGACTGCAAGAAGATCAAACCTCTCCATTCTTAAGGAAATCAGCCCTGAGTGCTCACAAGAAGGACAGATCCTGAAGATGAGGCTGCAGTACTTTGGACCATAAAGAGCTAGATGGACCAATGGTCTGAGTCAGTACAGGGCAGCTTGTGATGGTCTATCATGAAGTCGCTGGTCACGTCGCCTGAGATATGTCTGCAGGCAGAAAGAACAAAGATCCTCAGCATCGCCTTCTAATAGATTCTGGCCACAAACAAATCACACACACCCTCCACATGCAAGTCACCCATGATAATACTGAATGTTTGAGTTTCCCCCCTCTAATCATATTTTTAAACCAGTCTATGTAGTAAATCGATCAGTTAAATTATAAGTAAGTCAAGGAAAATAAAATAAATATTCGAGGAGAAGAAGCAGCAGCGTTTGGATTTGATATCCCGCTTTATCACTACCCTAAGAAGTCTCAAATCGGCTAAGAATCTCTTTTCCCCTCCTCCCCCACAACAAACACTCTGTGAGGTGAGTGAAGCTGAGAGACTTCAGAGAAGTGTGACTAGCCCAAGGTCACCCAGCAGCTGCATGTGGAGGAGCGGGGAAGCGAACCTGGTTCACCAGATTATGAGTCCACTGCTCTTAACCACTACACCACACGGGCTCTCGATCTTAAGGAGCTTAAGACAGTGCACAAGGTTCCTCTGCTCCCACATCACAACAATCCTGTGTGGTAGGTTACACTGTAGGTAGTGACCATCTCAGGCCATCCTGGGAGTTTCATCGCTAAACAAGGATTTGAATCCAGATCCTCAAAGTGGCTTTTAGCAATTAAGTTCATGTCTTCTGAACCATAGGTCAGCGGTCTTTTGTAGAGAGGCTTTTGATGTTTTATATCTTCATTGTAAGAAACAGCAACACACCAAGCTCATGCAGAGATGTGGGGTGATTGACCGGTGCTGTGGTGCTAGACAAGGTATGGTGAATGGTTCACTGCTACGGATGCAGACATCTGCCACCCAGCAGCAAACGTTACTCTCTTTTTGCAGATGACAAAATGTTAAAAACGCAGGTAAGGAATAAAAGTTTAATGCCTGTGAAATAATTGGGAGCTCTGGAAAAGACGAAGCATATGGTATATATAATTCCAAGTGATAAAAAGATAAGCACCGCAAAGTATTTATGATTATGGAAGGGGGCTATAGTCCTGAAATCTGTCATATATAAACTAAACCAGAAAATGAGCTTTGAATCCGATCGCAGGCAACAATCATACCAGGGATTGCACTGAACAAATGAGAACCGCTGTTTATAACAGTTCGGGAGCATTTCGTGAAATTAAAGGGAATGTACGGTAATTGTGGTTTAACTGATCTGTGACAGAAAGCAGAAAAGCTGCACTCTTGTCTACTATGAGAATATCAGATAGTGAGACTTGTGAATACCAGGCAGAACACAGACACACAGGTGCACAAGTATTTGTGCATAGGTACACACTTATGTGTGTAGGCATGTGAACACATTCACACTCATACACAACCCTCGTTGTAGTTGAGGATACATGATTGCAAACATTCCACTTGCTTAGTCAATCTCAATATCCACACTGATTCCGATACTGTCTGAAGGCTGTCAATCACCTCCAAGTGACAATTCTGACTTAAAGGGCAAAATAAAAAGGGTCTGCATCCTTGCACATGCCACATTTCACATGTATGTGCAGGCTCAGTTATGTAGACATATTAGCTGCTGCAAGAAGCCTCCTAGCTTTTAGCCACATCAGAACAAAGTGACGGGATTATTTATAAAGACACAGTTCTCCCCGCCCCAAGCCATTCAGCAAATACATAGAACAATATATATATATATATATATGCATATAAACCCTCATTCTTACCTTTTGGATCAGAGGCAGGTGCCAATGGTTCAGGCCCCTACATGTGGTTAACCAGCATACTAGGACACAGACCATGCTCTCCGCCTGCAGGTGCTGCTTGTGATGTAGATACTGGACCACATTTTGACAGCTGATAGTCTGGGAGAGAGGCTGGAGTTATTTAGCATCTTTGCATTCACGGCAAGTCAGACCGTGCAGCGGGAGCATCTATATTTAATTTGGCAGTCGCTCTGGATGACCTCAAAGGCTTTTTCATTTTCTTGCTCTGCTTCTCTCTCTCTTTCTCTCTCTTCGTCTTCATTGCTTAGCAACAATCGAGGGTGAACTTGCTCTTAAGCCAAGCACCACTACAGATATGGCTCTGATCTCTGCCGGCTGAGTGCATCCTAGTCAACCTTTCCTTTTCGCGTCTCCCACCGCTTGGCATTTCCCTCCACCCTTCCCTGTCTTGTTCTTCCACTCAGGCAGAAGTTTTCACTCTTCCCCCCTCCCAATTTCAAACACATTGCAGTAGATGGGGAGGCAGCTTCTAAAACAAACGGCAAGGCGGCAGGAGGGCTGGCGGGAGCAAGGAGTTTTATTGGATGCCAATAGCCCTAGGTGAATGGACTGCACAATTGAGTAACAGCCAGGAAGAGGGGGGGCAGGAAGTGGTTAACCCCTGCTTTTCCTTGAAATTAATTCTTTTTTTTATTATAATATTTTATTAGAATTTTCCAAAAAGTTAACAACCAAACAAAAATCAACAAAAATCACAAAAAACAGACAGGAAACATCGAAAATCCAAACAGAAAAACAGAAAAAAGAAAAATACAGAAGGAAAAAAAAATTAGCATAAAAAGTACACTCTTTCATATTGATAACTTTCAAAACCTTATTCTCTTTACTTCCATCCGCCTTCCCTTCTTGTATTCTACTTTAAAAATTAGTTCAGCAAGATCATTAATTATTCATTTTAAACCTTTATCCCTCCCTTTATAATCTATTTATCTTAATCGCTAGAAACCCCTTCATTTCATTTTCAGAGCCCTCAGCATTCATAAATTTTACAGTATTTTTGTAGATAGACTTTAAACTTCTTCCAGTCCTCTTCCACCTGCTCTTCTCCTTGATCTCGGATTCTGCCGGTCATTTCTGCCAGTTCCATATAGTCTATTACTTGCATCTGCCATTCTTCCAAGGTGGGTAGATCTTGCGTCTTCCAATGCTTTGCAATCAGTATTCTTGCTGCTTCCTTGAAATTAATTCCTGGACTTAATAAGAGCCCATATAATTAGGACTATCAATGACAACAAGTCATGATGGCTATGCTTGGCCTCCACAGCTGGAGACAGTAATGCTTCAAAATATAGCTTGCTGGAAACCACAGGAGGGGAGAGTACTCCTATGCTCAAATCCTGCTTGCAGGTTTCCCACAAGAGTTTGGATTTGATATCCCGCTTTATCACTACCCGAAGGAGTCTCAAAGCGGCTAACAATCTCCTTTTCCCTTCCTCCCCCATAACAAACACTCTGTGAGGTGAGTGGGGCTGAGAGGCTTCAGAGAAGTGTGACTGGCCCAAGGTCACCCAGCAGCTGCATGTGGAGGAGCGGGGAATCGAACCCAGTTCACCAGATTACAAGTCCACCGCTCTTAACCACTACACCACATCTGGTTGGCCACTGTGAGAACAGAATGCTGACTGCATGGACCTTTGGCCTGATCCAGCAGGCTCTTCATAGGCAGGGCCATCTTACCCATAGGTGCTAGGGGTGTGGGGCTCTCAGGGGCGCCAGGTCGAGAGTCCAGGGCATGAGAGTTGAGCCAGGGAAGAGCCTGCCCGTCGGTCAGAGTGCCGCGGCAGGATCGTCTGCTGCGGGCGGCTCTGCACCACGAGTTTGGGGACAACCGAGTCAGTGAGACGCTGTGGCGGCTGGCCAGCTCTGCCCTCCTGCGTGCCTGGGACTGGGTAATCTGGGAGGGGGGGCGCCAGGCTGATCTTTGCACCCCGGCGCTGAATATGCTTAAGACAGCCCTGTTCGTATGTTGCTATGTGCATTTAACAAACCTGCTGCCTTGTAGGAGTGCTGGCTACTTGGACTCCTGCAAATACACCAATAATTGCAAAAGTCGTTGTCACTTCCCAGTGATCTGTCCTCTGTGAGAAATTGGAACACACAAGGATCTCTGGCGCCAGAACTTCTCAATGCTCAGAGAACATGCCCCTGCATTGGACTTCCTTTAACCTGCCATTTAACGTGGAAGACCTTGCGAGAACAATCTGATGGCCTCTCGACAGCGGTACTTAGAACGATCACCTGTGCGAACCCACATTGTTTTGAAGCCCATTCAAAGTTGCCTAAAGGAGCTGCCTGTCAAGTTCATTCAGTCGCTAAGCTGGATTTCATTGAACAGCTAATTCTCTCCCACTCTCTTTTCTCCCGGCCACCTAATGGATCAAGCAAGTTCAAGTGGAGATAAATGGATACAAGAGGCTAGCAAATAACTAAGCATCACAGCATCCTCTGCTGATACGCTTAGCTGAGGTTTTAGCTCCTAAACCTTGCAAAATCCAGCACCCTGCCGCCCCTCCTAAGGATTAAGAACAGGCTGTAAACTAGCTATACTCTTGATTCTCAAGAGAATCAAAATGAAAAGAAATTGCGACGGGCAAGGAATGTGTTTTAAATGCATATATACATAAAATGTGTCTGTTCCAACCTGAAGAACCTTTGCTTGTATCCCACTGCCTCTTGCACTGAGTATCCCCTTATGTCTAAGCCACTTGTGCATCAAAAAAAAGCTATTATGTACAACATTTAATGCGAAAAGTATTGTATTATATTATAAGCCTCCTTTTGAGCACGATCTGGATGACCACCCCACCCACCTGTCCTCGATGTTAGAGCCTCAGGACTGAAATTGAATTCCCCCCTCCCAACCTCCCATATTTCCCACAGGAGTGGGGTGGGGGAAGGCTTAGTTATGTATATGACACCTACAATAATGTATTTAATAATATGTATAATTAGCTATAATTGTGTTTTTAGCAGAAAATGCACTTTGGGGGGGGGGCTGCGATCTTGTGTGGTGCCCTAAAACATGCATTTTGGGGCACCATGTCCCCCAACCTGCTTTTTGTGGGGCAGGGGGGAAACTGTGGTGCAAAACCACGCAAGATCACAGCAACCAAAATGGCCGCCGTGCTCTTATGATAGAAAACAGGAAGATGGCATTGGGAAAGATGGCGTTTCAGATTTTGGTTTCAAAGTGTGTGTTATGTATTTCGCAACTACGTGCAGGAATTTCACAAGGTGGAGTTTGGTGGGCATCTTTAGGTACTTTTAAGATGAAAGGGGACGCGGGTGGCGCTGTGGGTAAAAGCCTCAGCGCCTAGGGCTTGCTGATCGAAAGGTCGGCGGTTCGAATCCCCGCGGCGGGGTGCGCTCCGGCTGCTCGGTCCCAGCGCCTGCCAATCTAGCAGTTCGAAAGCACCCCCGGGTGCAAGTAGATAAATAGGGACCACTTACTGGCGGGAAGGTAAACGGCGTTCCGTGTGCTTGCCAGATGCAGCTTTGTCACGCTGGCCACGTGACCCGGAAGTGTCTCCGGACAGCGCTGGCCCCCGGCCTCTTGAGTGAGATGGGCGCACAACCCCAGAGTCTGTCAAGACTGGCCCGTACGGGCAGGGGTACCTTTACCTTTACCTAAGATGAAAGGTGAGACCCAAGACTTGTCTTCCAGGTTGTAGGACCTGTTGGCTGGGTAAGAATCACCTTTGGGGCTAACCTGTGACCCCCACTCAGAGTTGTGGGGCCCTGAAAGGGGATGGGGGAGGAAGACCTCCCTACCCACCCTGAGGTGTGTGTTTGACAGGAGGGGGTGAAGTTAAAGCCACCCACTTTTATGTGTTAAAGTTAGCTAGGTTCCCACACTGGCACCCAGCAAAGAAATTGCATGAAACTAAATATATGTGGCTCCATGTTTTACCCAAGCTTGCCCTGTGTTACACTTCTTTATTTCATGGCTGCAGTCAGAACTACAGCTGTCATTAGACCCAATTTGCATGCATGATTTGCTTCTCGAAGCATCAACGGCTGAATTTATCTGGAGACAGGAAGGTCAGAAAAGTTTAATTGATTGTATAATGCAATTTAAAAAGACTGGCAGGGAATCTCGGGCAATTTTGGGACAGCTGCCTGCCAAACCTAAAACGCACAGCAGCTGCGACAGCAGTGGGATTATGATGAGCTACACACACACATTTGCAATATCCTGCAAAACGGGATTGGGCAGACACTTGAAAATGGGCAGCAGAAAGTATGCAGGGGTTCCAGACACATGGAGTTGGATTTAATGCTAGTCCCAGTCAGAGCAAACCACTGAAGCTATCTTAGGTTCATTAATTTCAGTGGGTCTACTCTGAGTTGGATTACCATTGGGTACAACTCCATGTAACTGGGGCAAAATACTTGACCATTTTCAACCTGGGTCCTGGCCTGGTTATGGGCCTTAGATGGACTTTAGTAGCTTTGGAGGACAGTAGTTCTAGGGCAGGAATGTGGTACCTCAGGCTTGGGGGCTAAACTTCAAGGTCTCTCTGCCTGGCCCTCAAGACTCTCTCCAGTAGGGTTGCTACCCATCTTCTGTCCCATTTGGGCTTCAAACAGGACAGCTTTCTCCCATACTCATGCTTGGCCAAGCCAAAATGGTGGTTGCATTGCTGTTGGTGCAGCTGACGAGGAGCCTGGCCCGGTGTGAGCGATAATAGAGAGAAGGGGGAAGGAACAACCTCCTTTCCCTCTGTCAGGCTCCAGGGAATTGGCTTAGTAAATAAACAGAGATCAAATGAAAGGAATGTCTTACCAGTTAGATTCTTTAATAATCACAGTGAGAGAACAAATAACATGTCTACTAGAATTGGCGGTGCTCCCAATTAAGGCTCACTCCCCCCTCTCCATCCCTATTAATCTACATCACTCCTACATCTTGTACAGTGGTGCCCCGCAAGACGAATGCCTCGCAAGACGGAAAACCCGCAAGATGAAAGGGTTTTCCGTTTGCGAGTTGCTTCGCAAGACGAATTTCCCTATGGGCTTGCTTCGCAAGAAGAAAGCCCATAGGGAAATCTCCGGGGACCTCTTTTAAATGCTGGCGGTGGGGAGCAAAGCCTTCCCCCCCCTCCGGCCTTCAGAAGAGGTCCAGGAAGGCCAGCGGGGGCCGAAAGGCTTTGCTCCCCACCGCCAGCATTTTAAAAGCAGTCCGGGATAGCAGGGAAGCGCTTCCCGCTATCGCGGACGGCTTTTGAAGGCAGGCAGGGGGGAGCAAAGACTTTCGCCCCCCGCCTGCCTTCAGAAGTGGTCCTAGACCTCTTCTGAAGGCGGGCGGGGGGCGAAAGTCTTTGCTCCCCCCTGCCTGCCTTCCCGGGAGAGCGGAGAAAGGCAGCGCGTTTCTCTGCTGTCCCGGACGGCTTTTGAAGGCAGGCGGGGGGGGGGGGGAGCAAAGATTTTCGCCCCGCACCCGCCTTCAGAAGAGGTCCTAGACCTCTTCTGAAGGCGGGCGGGGGGC